GGGCCGGCCGGCGGGCGGCGAGTAGATACGGCCGCGACGGCGGCCAGGGACAGCCGCAACGGCGGCCAGGGACAGCCGCGACGGCGGCCAGGGGCAGCCGCGACGGCGGCCATGGACAGCCGCGACGGCGGCCAGGGACAGCCGCGACAGCGGCCAGGGACAGCCGTGACGGCGGCGAGGGGCGGCCGCGACGGCAGGAGCGACCGTGAGGCGGCTGGAGACGGCAGCGGCGGTGGTTAGGGGCGGCTGCGATGGCGAGGGGCGGCCGGGACGACTAGGGGCGGCCGAGGGACGGCAGGAAGCGGCCGTGACGGCGGCTAGAAGCAGCCGCGACGGCTAGGGGCGGGCGCAAACGGCCAGGGGGGCTGCGAGGAGCGGGTGCGAAACGGCCAGGGCGCCGGCTAGGAGGGGCTCGACGGCCAGGGGGGCGGCTAGGGACGGGCGCGAACGGCCAGGGGGCCGGCTAGGGACGGGCGCGAACGGCCAGGGGGCCGGCTAGGGGCAGGCGCGAACGGCCAGGGGGCCGGCTAGGAGCGATCGCGACGGGCAGGGGGGCCGGCTAGGAGCGGGCGCGACGGCCAGGGGGCCAGCTAGAGACGGGCGCGACGGCTAGGGCGCAGGCTAAGGGCGAGCGCGACAGCCAGGGGGCCAGCTAGGGGCGGGAGCGAACGGTCAGGGGTCGGCTAGGGACGGGCGCGACGGTCAGAGGGGCCGGCTAGGGACAGGCGCGAACGACCAGGGGGCCGGCTAGGGACGTGCGCGAACGGCCAGGGGGCCGGCTAGGGACGGGCGCGAACGGCCAGGGGGCCGGCTAGGGACGGGCGCGAACGGCCAAGGGGCCGGCTAGGGACAGGCGCGAACGGCCAGGGGGGTCGGCTAGGGACGAGCGCGACTGCCAGGGGGGCGGCTAGGAACGTAGGGGCGGAAGCGTGAGCGGGCTAGGGGGGGATCTAACCTACTATGATACCATATCAGAAAGAGAATGATTGAACTAGAATGTGTGTGTACAAGGATATATAGACTAGGGTGTTGTACCCTCTAAGGCACAATCCAGTATAGTCTACAGTAACGACCTAAGTTACATTTGACAGAGTAGCCATGGAATGGCGTGAGGTTTAGAAAGGAGAAAATGTCGAGAGACAAGAGTGAGATTAGAAGAGTGATACAAGGAGGGAGTTGTACCCTCTACAGGAGATTCCAGTAACGCCTACCAAGCCTACAATTACATATAAAAAATATATAATTTAACATGGACTAGTAGTGCCACCCTGAGTTGCGTGTCTCTTGCCAGGCACCGCCCCTTGTCTAGCCTAGGGGGTGTGTCAACATATATTTGTAGGTATATGTTATAGGCTACATAGGTGTAGCTCATAGAGGGTACAGCACCATAGCACAAACCCTCCCTGTATGGCGCAATCTAGTTCATTGTGTCATCGCCCCCATCATCACCATCATCATCATCATCCTCAGTGCCCTCAAACTCCCCATAGACATCGTCAGATGATCTCACTTCCACCACTACCCTCTGCCACCTCTCTTTTCCCACTTTGCTCTGCTCCCTCCATCTGCTGCTTCCCCGGGCGCCTGCCCCCCGCCCTTCTTGCCCCTCTCCTCCCTCATGCTCCCCTCTCTCTTCCCAGTCTTGCTCCACTCCTTGTCCCCGTCGTCCTCCACCTGCTTGCTGCTTGATACTTCCAAGACCCTCTACGGCATCTCCTTTCAGAGAATTTTCCACCTTCCTTTCCAAATCTACACTTGCTGATCCTCTCTTTCCTGCACCTCCTTCTCGTTCTACTATCCCATTGAGATTTCCTGTCCCCCTTGATTCTCCCTCTGCCCCTGCCACGTGTTGCAACCCCCCAGCAGCAGCAGCAGCTTGGGGTCGGGCGAAGGAGAAGAGCCGGACGGCGAAGGCAAAGGCACGGTCGAACAGGAAGGGGCGAGCAGCCTCTGCCAGCGCAGACAGGTGCACTACCACTTGGGGCCGGGCGATGACCGGGGGTTGGGGGGTGAGAGCTGGGTGCGCTGCAGATCGGGGGGCAGAACAGGAGGGGCTTGGAGAGCCACCAGTGGCCCTGGTGATCCTGGTGGTGGCTGGAAGGGGTCTCAAAGCCAGGCAGCTTGAGGCTGTGATTTGGGAAGTAGAAGGTGGTGGTGGTACAGGCGTGGGTGTGGGCGCATGGGGCGGTGCAGCAGACAGTTGTGTTGTGAGCGGTTGTGTTGGTAGAGGTTGCATGGCAGGTGGGTGCTGGAAGACTGCCAGCAGATGATCCACCACTAGACTCACATCCTGTACCTGCACTACATGCAGCACATGCACACACACACGCGCACAATGCATGCATCCACACATGCACACATACACACATACACATACACACATGCAAACACATGCAAACACACAGATACACGCAACATGCAGTAAAGCAGACACAAGAGACGTGAATCAGGGGCGCAGGCTTGGGCAAGGATGTCATGCATTCCCATGCATGTCTGTGGCTGATTGCGTGTGCACAGACCCTTCCCCCAAGGCCATGCTTGTGTGCACAAATAAGCATAACAAAACCCATGAACACGGGCAGGTGCGCACACAGCAGACACGCACCGTCCCTGAAACATGGTTCACCGGGAATCCACTCACACATAAATATGCGCAAAGCACACCCGTGAGCACACACCTAAGCAAGGCCAACGATGCACACTCTCACCTTCATGAGTGCCTGCAGCTCAAGGGTCATCCATGCCCGCACCACACTCTCTGTCGGCTCACTCACTGCCACCCGCCCTTCACCACCACTCCTGCCACTCGACCCACCCCCCCCCCCCCGCCACCCTTGGCTCCCTTGTGCTGCCCCCGCTGCTGCCGCCAGCCATTGGACCCATCCCCTGCATTGACTCTGGCGCTCGCTGCACCAGGTGCTGCCTCCAGTGCTGCCCCAGGTGCGTCCTCAGGTGTTGCTGGCAGCAGTGGTGGGGATGATGATGGTGGTTGTTTGGTGTAGAGGCGCCTCCGTTTGCAATGCTCTTGAGAGGGGACAAACACGCTGGGGTTGGGAGGAGAGAGATGGTTGGGGGGAGGGGGTTGGCGAGATTAAAGGCAAATCAAAGAGGAAACTCGCAGTTGCCTTATTCAGTGAAACGGCGTCTCCATACCTGTTCCTGTAGGCGTCCCTGCCACGTCGTTCCTCAGCATCACCCGTGGCAGCAGCCCCTGCAGCAGCATCACGGGCACCCCCTGGAGAAGCAGGTGTGGGGAGGATAGGCAGCTGCTCGAAGTCGGCAGCAGCCAGATTGACGTGATGGACGATGGAGAGAGGAGGGGTCTGCATGGGATGATGGGGGGGGTTGAGGGGGAGGGGAAAAAGGGAAGGAGGAATGGATGAGGGGCTTGGTTGAAACGATCAGAGTCAGCAGAGGAGAGGCTGAAGCGAGGGAGGCGAGCGAGGGAGAGAGAGGAGTGAGCATTGGAGAGACATGACTGCACTGCACGCGTTAATGGCAGCTAGTGCATGCAAGGAAACGGGGAGATGGAAAGCTGCCAAGGCTCCTAGTGCCTACATGAAGCTTCGAAGAAAGGAGGGGAGCTAAGATGCTGATCATGACGACTCTACCGATAGCAATGGAAACCCCGCCAGCCGTGGGTAAACGGAGCAGCCAAAACGATAGATAGACGGCTGAGAAAACTCGCCCAACGGCCGTCACAACTGAAGCAATGGCTGTGGGAGCAAGCGCGGCCATCACACGCGCTGGAGAGTCGACCGACCCCGAAGAGCGCGGATACGCGCATGCTACTGTGTATGCTACTGTGCATGCTACTGTGCATGCGCTGCTCCTCTTCACTTGATAGCCCCTGACATGTGATGCTCTCCACCTCACTCTACCTCAGTCTATCCCACTGCGTCCTACCTTGCAGACAGGACACACAGCAGGTCTCCGAGGTCGCTCATTGCTGACGTCATAATGCCACGACGCGTCACCTCCCGCTTCAGCAGCTGTGACGTCAGCATATACTATGAGAGCCGTCCGATCTGAATCTGGCGACGCGGCAACACGAGCGACGGCCTGATAAACATCGGGCGGTTGTTGTTGTTGCCGTTCCTGCTGCTGCTGCTGCTGCTGCTGGTCTCGGAGGTGCGGGGGGACGATGGCGTGGCGGGTGCAGGACTCGAGCCATCGCACGACGCACGCGAAGCAGAAGCTGTCTGATCGCAGCCAAGGACCGACGATGTTCGACGAAGCCGGTTACTCCATCGCCGTTTCGTTGGGGATAGGATCCGACCACCAAATACCCGAGAATCGACCGTCGATGTAAACGGCGGCACGGGGGAAGCGGTAAGCGAGGACAAGAGGAGGAGGAGAGAAAAGGGGAAATTGATCAGAACTCAGTGTTGAGGTTTCAGAGCCAAAGTGAAAGATCAAGCGAAAGTGGTACTCAAGGGCAATGGCGTGCTGTCAAGGCCTAGTGAAGCAGAGCGCTGGTTCGTTAAGGAGACTGGCATGGCACCTACGGAAGCAGGGGTCGAGAAACGCCTCGTCGTGGGGTTCGTCAAGGCAGATCGGACAGACAGACGCCGCCACGGCCATGCACGCCGAAGCGGGTGGATGATAACAAGCTCGACCGATGGCAGCACGAGATTCCCAAAGCTGTTGGCCAAGTTGCCTCTGGATTGAAACTGGCTGAGATGATTTCCTTGGCAAGGCTTGCCATTATACACCCACTGTTCGGTTTGCGTGGTACAGCAGATTGCAGTGCGGTATTACACGGGGAATTCAGGTTCGTCATTTTGGCACTGAGGCGGTATTGAAAAGTTCGATATTAGTTGCGCTTACTCGAAACACTGTACCGAGACTGTAGAGTCTAGCCTACAGAACGTCGAGATTATGGAGATTGTGGCGTGGTGGTGGTTGAGCTTGGTGCGAATTGACACGTGAACCGACGGTTTGACGAATCTGAGTGTAACGTCGTTTCAGCCGTTAGATTCCTTTTAGGGACTTCCCCCATATCACCACCGCTTTACCCACCTTTCACTCTCTCTGTGCTACAGTACTAAGTCGCCCTAAGCTTGTCGCTGTGGAACCTGCAGACAGCTTCAAACCAGCCCTTAGAATTCGCAGCTTAGCTGTGAGGCTATCAAGCGACCGCAGCATTTTAGAGAGAAGCCATGGCCGAAAATAGCGGCGCTGACAGCAGCAGCGCAGGACACATCCCTGAGTATATTCCATCCAAGCACGTTCCACTAACAGACCAGCTAGAAAAGGACAAGGTTCGTTTGGTCATTCGTCTACGTACCGTCGTTCTTCCGTTCTCTCACAGTAGCACCTTTCTACTCACCTGCTTCGCCGAACTTACTCCGTGACGACTGGTTGACGGTTCGGTTCTTGATCGCAGGATGACGAGAGCTTACGGAGGTGGAAGGAGAGCCTACTAGGCGAATTATCGCTCGACGATAAAGGTCGCAAAGTCTTCGCATTTCCCTGTTCTCGCTGCGGCTTTTCATAGTCCAGGGAATTTATCTCGCAAAACGTTTTTCTTTTCGTGCCAGGCAAGCGAGGAGACTCAGCGGTCGAGTTTTCGGCGGTGCGGCTGGTGGTGGAGGAGCGGGACGCCATCGCGCTGCCGCTGCCCAAGGACGGCGAGGCAGTGGCGCTGCCGGCGAGCTTCGAGCTGAAGGAGCGGTGCAGGTACCGGCTGCAGTTCGAGTTCGCGGTGGCCAACGACGTGGTGCTGGGCCTCACGTACGTCAACACCGTGTTTAAAGACGGCGTTCAAGGTGCGCGCGCTGCGCTCTCTGAGAGCTGGGATGCTTTGGGTAGACGTTGTGTATTGGCATTGCAGCGGCATGACGACCAGATGGCAGACATTCACATCACTGGATGAGGGAAATCACATCAGCGCAGAAACCGAATTTTTGGCTAATGAACTAAGATGGGGTTGGAAGTGAACAATGCAAGCCTTGATGGGCGAAGGGGAGATTAGTTCCATTTCCAGCGTTCGCATCGCAACAACATGGGTTACGTCCTTCGATATTTTTTAACAAGCCTTTCCCCCTCCCATTCCCTTCCCATTCACTCCGTTTGACTACATGTTGTGCCTTCAACATTGGTGCAGTGGATACTTCTAAGGTGATGCTTGGAGCATATGCGCCACAAGCAAAGCCGTATGTGTATGTGACGGAAGAGGAGACAACACCTGATGGAGAGGACGTTCGTGGCAAATATACGGCAGAAACAAAGGTGCGACTACCTGTCCATCCTGTGGTGCATGTGCCATCTTCGTAACATCTCTTTAACATGTATGGGGCGATTATTCTTGTGAAACGTTTTGCTTTGCCTAATTTTATAAGTAGAAACATTCTCATCATGAGGGTGGCATGTGGATGGCCCTACCCTTCCTCCCTCACTCCCCATTATATTTCACCATGGTGCAAGGCAACACAATGATTCCCCACGTTCTTGGATTGTTGTTTCATGTTGGGACTTGGCCCCACCATAAGATCGCTCAGAAACGGAATTGAAGTTCTTTCCTTGTAAAGAGGGTTTCGTGTTCTGAATGAATTTGAAAGGTTGCAGCTCAAATCGCTGTCAGATTCTTGTCTGGACTGCCTCAACTTGCCTCACCCCTGAGTTTCAAAAGAAAGGAATGTCTTGTATGGTACTATTGTGTTTTCCATCGTATGGAGTTCTGATCCGACTTGCTTGTTTTTTCCTCCCCTTCTACAGTTCGCTGATGATGATGGCAAAGTTTACTTGACATTTTCGTACTCCTTTGAGATCAAAGAGGAATGGTAGGTTCTTAAATATTCTCTAATCATAGTATCCGTATGTGGGGGGGGGGGGGAGGAGGGGGGGGGGGGGGGGGAGGGGGATGTTTCCTTGCACATGAACGTGCAGTATGCTTTGACGAATTTAGGGGAGGTACATTTGAAGGGTATGAGGAGGTGGCATGTGGTTTATATATGCCAATTTGCCATGTTTGTGAGAAATTGGTTTTATTCTTCGACATTTTACTCAGTTCGTACAGGTTCATAGTGACTGTCTGGTGTTGGGGTGTTCTTTAGAATGTTCTGTCGTGGCCCGTTTTGATTGGCGCGGCCCCCAAGATGGATTCCCCTTCACATCCATTCCCAGTGGGCTTCCCATCTCATGCCCATGAGGGAAATGGTAGAAGCCGCTTTCAGCTTTCCCCCTCCCCTCTCCATTGTCGGCCAAAACAGAGAACACTGAACAATTTCCACATGGTCGTGTCGGCCCACATCGGACGGGCGGTCTAGTAATATCTTTTTGTTCCTATCTTGGGCCTTATTTTGTTGTCTTCGCAAGCGTGGCTCGTTCCTTGTCAGTCCGCAGTCCAGCAGTCCGCGCTTACAGGGAGAGCAGTTTGCTTTTTGCGAAAGCCCGTTCTTTTACTGCACGTCCGTCGGTTACTGGTAGAGCATGGCGTCCACTTGTTGTTCGGGGGTCGTGGCGAGGACTGTTCTCCTTGACGGCACGTCACAAGGCTTTGCTGCGCCGCTTAGAAGTGGGAAACCACCGCCCAGTTCACCGTCGCTCTTCGTGTCAACCAAAAGAGTCGCGCCGCCCAATCGACGAAGCATCAGGCTTGTAGTGGTGCGAGCAGATCCGAAAGGCGACGCGAGGGAGCTATGGCGCCGCGAGATTGAAGCCGACTCGGCGGCAGCAACAGATTTTGAGGCGGTCGACGCGGACACGGTGAGGGAGGAGGCGCAGCGGCTGACACGTAAGCAGGTCATGGAGCGGCTCGACAAGGCCAGCTTTCAGGAGCTTCGCGCGCTGCAGGAGAGCGGCTACGACTCCGACGGCGGCAGCACGCGGCCCGGCGGCGGGAAGAGCGCGGAGAGCGGAGGGGTGTCGTGGAAGGAGGTGGTGGATAAGATCCTCGTGGCGGACTTCTTTTTGATCACAATCGCTCTAGTGTGGTTCTTGACGGGCGTGCTTCAGCGTTCCATCTCGCATGACGACGGGCTGCTGCTGGCGTGGCTGAAGCTGTGGGACCCGCTGTTCCAGCCGGCCATTGGGGTTTTTATGGGCGCTGCTGTGCTGCAGGCTGTGCTTAAGAAAAGAAATTAGACGCTTGATCCTCATTGATCTCTTCTTTATTAGTTCAGGGCAGGTGCAGCCTGAACTTCAGCTGGCCGTTGGAGAAAAGGGAACGGGGAGGGGGGGGGGGGGGGGGGGGAAGACAGGAGAGAAGTGGACGGGGGAAGGGGGTCAGGTGGTCGGGGTTGGGGGGATTGGGTAGGGTGGTTGGGTCCAGCATATCTTCTACGTAACTCGCCACATGATTGTGACACGACCTCAGAGGAGTGTGCAGTGCACTCGTCATAGCATATCATGTTAGAATGGAAGAATAGACTAGAAAGGGAGAGTACAAGGTAATCTAACCTAGAAGCTGTACCCTCTAAGACACAAACCTATACAGTCTATACAAACGTAACAAAATATGCTTGACACACCCCCTCGACTGTATAGGGGCAGTTCCTAACGAGAGAACGAGCAGCTCAGGGTGGCACTACTAGTTCGACCTCTGAGGCAAGGGTCTAAATGTCAAATATAACTTATGTTGTTACTGTAGACTGTGCAGGTCTGTGCCTTAGAGGGTACAGCACTCTAGTTGTATCTTCCTATTCTAGTCATTCTCTCTTTCTAACATGGTATCATGAGTAGGTAAGGTTAGTCTTTCTCGCGCCCGCCCGCGCTTCTGCCCTAGGCCCTAGGCCCCCCTCGTGCCCCGCCCCTAGCTGGCCCGCCCTGGCCGCTTTGCGCCCGCTCCTAGCTGGCCCCCTGGCCGTTCGCGCCCACCCTAGCTGGCCCCCCTGGCCGCCGCGTCCGCCACTAGCCGGCCCACTGGCCGTCACGTCCGCCCCTAGCCGGCCCCCTGGCCGTCGCGCCCACCCCTAGCTGGCCCCCCACCTGGCCGTCGCGTCCGCCCCTAGTCGGCCCCCTGGCCGTTGCGCCCGCCCCTTGCTGGCCCCCTGGCCATCGCGTCCGCCCCTAGCCGGCCCCCTGGCCGTCGCGCCCGCCCCTAGCCGGCCCCCTGGCCGTCGCGCCCGCCCCTAGCTGGCCCCTTGGCCGTCGCGTCCGCCCCTAGCCGCCACCCCCCCTGGCCGTAGCGCCCGCACCTAGCTGGCCCCCTGGCCGTTCGCGCCCGCCCCTACCTGGCCCCCTGGCCGTTCGCACCGCACTGCACCACCCTGCACCGCACTGCACCGCCCTGCACCGCTCTGCACCACTCTGCATCGCACTACGCCGCTCAGTACCGCACTGCACCGCTGTGCATCGTTCCTGATGGCAGAGGTACTTCGCTTCGACGCTGAGGGTCAGCCGCTTGAGTTTGACGCGTGGCTGGTCGACCTCCGCCGCCATCTCACTAGTCAGCGGCAGGATGGCCACTCGCTGTCTGTCCACCTTGACGGTATGCTCCCCTGCCCTGACCCCCCTGCAGCGCTGACCCCTCGTCTCCTGAGCGTGAGTCCGCTGCCGCTGCTGCCCTTGCTCGCTCTGTCTGGCTGTCGCGTGACACTGTTTGGCAGCTTGCTATCAGCCATGCCCTCCCACTCTCTGAGCGCCCTCGCTTTAAGTCCGTCACGACTGCGCAGGCATTCCTAGATGCTGTTGTCGAGCGCTATTCCAACCCGCCTGCTGCCTCTGTAGGTCGCCTGATCCTGCCGATGCTTTTCCCTGACTGTCACAGGATCGAATGTGTCGAGGAAAGATTGCACTATCGATCAGTACAAGGTGCTTTTATACTTCCAGAGTACATCAGGTAACCAGGTTTATCTTATCCTAAGGGAATAGACCCTTCTAGAAGATAGAATCACCCTGCGTATAGCCACACGAGGCTATTGGCTTTAAGGGATTACGGCAGGATTACGCTGGATAATGTGCCAGTACATCCCAAGCCTGGTCGGTGATATAATTATAATAGCAGGATAAACCAAAGGTTGATGGAAAAGGAAGAATAGGAAGCCAAATGAGATGCGGTAAAAAGAGAAATGAAAAGGGAAGGAAATAAGAAAAGGCCAAGTGGTGTAACGAGGTCGTACTCTCACACTGACCTTGCGTCTTTCCCTACTGACGCTGACCTTGCCGCCCACCTGCGCACGATAGACGCGACCTGGCGTTCTGCCTGCACTTAGACCCAGCTTAGAGCTCACCAGCCGCCCCTCTGCTCTGCCCTCTACCTGCTAGCCACCCGCCTCCCTGACCGTCTTGCCACTGCCTGCGACCGCTTCCTTAGCGTCCACCCCGGTGACCTCACCCACACCGACTTTGTCGACACCCTGTCTGCCATAGAGACCCGCCAACGCTCTATCGCCTAGACTAGCGATACTGTGCCAGTCCCCATCTTTCAGGGTTGTGCCCATACCCAGTGCACCTTCTCCGACGGTTTTGCAGCTGTGGCTGAGACAACTGCTGCAGCGCAGCTCCGTCCGGGGAAGGGTTGCCGCCCCAAGGCTGGGCGTGGCGAAGGGGGTGTGGGTGCAGGTGGAGGTGGTAGTGGAGTCGGCACGCCTGGTGGTGGCGCAGACGAGGGGACTGTCCCTGGTGCCGTCGAGCAGCCGTCCCAGCAGCCGCAGTCGTCGCAGCCGGACCATCACCACCCGCAGCCGCAGCCCCAGCTCCAGCCGCAGCAGTCGCAGCAGCCGCAGAAGCAGAGACGGGCGAGTGGTCTCCCGCCCGTGTGGCCTGGCACTGGTGGCGGTGGTGGACGTGATGGTGGACGTGCGCGTGGTGTGCTCCCAAGTGGCAGTTCGGGTGACGGGCGCTGCCAGTACCAGCTCCTGACTGGTCCTCGCCGCGGCTCCGTTTGCGGTAAGACCGGTCACTCCCCTGCTCGCTGCTTCCGTCGCCTTGACGACCTGTTTCGTCTTCGCTTCGGCCCGTCACCCAACCTCCCCGACTGGTTCAGCTTGCTTTGTCGTAGTATTCCGATTTTTTATATGGAGGTGGATGAGCTTAGCTTTGCCTTGTATGTGCTGTATGCTGATGACTCTAGTGTGACTGGTTCCTACTACCCCGTGTTGCCTAGTGTAGGTGTGCCTAGTCGTGCCCCACTTGCTGCGTCAGGAGTAGGACCTCCTGCTTTGTTTAGCCTAGGTTCCTCGGTCGCTGCTTCGACCCTGGCCGCCACTACTGTGCTCACCTTCACCCTGGACTCTGGCGCTTCCCGGTGTTTCTTCCACGACTCCACTACGCTGTCCCCGCTTGCTGCTCTGGCTGCGGTTTCCCTTGCTGACCCCTCCTCCGGCCCGGTAGTCGCTCGTAGTTCTACCACCCTTCCCTGCTCGGCGGCTCCTTCGGGCTCGCTCACAGGCTTGCACGCCCCCTCGTTTTCCAGGAACATAGTTGGTGTTGGCTGCCTCCAGGAACTTGGCGTCACCACTACGTTCCCTGGTCATGAGCGGCTTGCTGTCTGTACTGAGTCCGCCACTGGTGCTCCCCTCGCTACGTTCCCCCGGGACCCGGTGTTTGGCCTGTTCACACTGGACACCGCGCCCCCCCCGGTTCAGACGCCTCCCCAGATAGTTGTGTCGTCTCAGGTTGCAGCGGCCTGCTCGTGCCGGTCGCTTATTCACTCGACCCTCCTGTGGCACCACCGTCTAGGTCACCCTGCGCTCCCGCGTCTGCGTCACATGTCACAGCACGGTCTTGTCCTAGGTCTCCCAGGGTCGTTCCCCGCGTTGCCCCCCTCCACAGCGCCACCGTGCACGCCCTGCGTCGAGGGTCGGCTCCGCCGTGCCCCTCACTCCTCCTCTTTCCCCCCCACCACCGCACCGCTACAGACCTTGCACATGGACGTCTGAGGCCCCGCCCCCGTCCATGGAGCACGTCGCAAGCGCTACTTCCTCGTGCTTGGCGACAACTACACGCGCTACACCACAGTTTCTCCCTTGGAGCGGAAGGTCGACGTGCCTGACGTTCTTATCCCCTGGCTAGTCTCTGCGCCTGTCCACCGCGGTCTCCCTGTCCCGCGTCTTCACTCTGACTGTGGTGGCGAGTTTGCCTCCAGTGTCCTTGGTCGCTTCTGTCGTGCGGAGGGCATCACCCAGACGTTCACCCTGCCGGACTCGCCACAACAGAATGGGGTAGCTGAGCGACGCATCGGTTTGGTCATGGAGGTGGCTCGTACCTCCATGATCCATGCCGGTGCACCCCATTTTCTGTGGCCGTTCGCGGTTCGCTACACTGCTCACCAGCTTAACATGTGGCTGCACTCTCAGCGGCCGCAGGTTTCGCCGACCCTTCTTTGGACCGGGTCTCCTGGTGACGCGTCTGCGTTCCACGTCTGGGGATGCCTTGCTCACGTTCGTGCCTCTGGCACGGACAAGCTCACTGCCCGCACCCTCCCCTGTGTCTTCCTTAGTTTCCCCCTTGACTCGTCCGACTGGCACTTCTACCACCAACCGTCCCACCGTTTCTTTCACTCCAGCGATGTTACCTTTGACGAGCTCGTTTCCTTCTACCACCGCTTTCCGCACCGTGGTCCCTCGGTTACCCCCCCCCTGTTCCTGGTTCCCCTGTCCCTGGTAGCCCCAGCCCTGCCCCCCCCGCGTCCTGCCCCGTCCGGTGTGTCTCACGTCACTCCCCTCTCGTCGGTTGTCCCGGTTGAGGAGTCTGCTGAATCTGGTGGTCCTGCGGCCCAGTCCTTGCCGCCTCCCTCCCCCCCGGTGTCTCCTCCTCCGCCGCCGCAGCAGTAGTCGTCGCTGCTGCCGCCGCCATAGTCGCCGCCGCCCGAGCCGTCACTCCCGCATCAGCCGTTGGTGGCGGTGGTGCTGGAGTTGGTGTGCAGACAAGGCGAGAGCAAAACCAGGGCGGTACTACTAGTCCAGCCACTGGTAGAGGCCACAAGGCCAGTCAGAAAAAAATATATAAGGTCTGTACACAATCAAGGCCCTAGCAAGTGAGAGGCTACAGGAACAAGACCTAGCTGTACACAGTGCCGCTGATGATCTTTAGGCGCAAGCGCCTTCGTAAAGATATCAGCTGAATTGGCACCGAAGACCAAGTGTACTACGCGAGCCTGGCAGCGCTGCTGTAGCTCACGCAGGAGGAAGTACCGCAGCTGGATGTGCTTCGCTCTGCCCTCGAGTCGCGGCTCCTGACACAGGAGGATCATGGCCCTCTTGTCAGCGTACAGGACCGGGGCAGTGCTAGGCCGCTCACCTAAGTCAGTGAGCAAGAAGGTCAGCCAGCGGAGCTCCTGTGCCGCCATGGCACCGGCGTAGATCTCGGCCTCACAGCTGAACTGGGCAACAGATGAAGAGCGAGTAGCTCTCTACGAGACGGCACCTGAACCAAGGCTGAAGCAGTAGCCCTGCGAGGACCTGAGGGTCTCGGGGTCATCGGCCCACGAAGCGTCTGTGTGCCCAGTAAGGACCACTGGCCTACGCCCTCCTAGCACTATCCCCATGCCCGATGTACTTGCAAGGTAACGCAAAACCCTCTTGGCGGCAGACCAGTGCTGAGGTCTGTGTCTGCCTGTGGCCACAAAGCGAGCCAAGATGCTGAGAGGGTATGCGAGATCTGGGCGAGTCCAAGTCATCAGGTACATGAGGCAACCCACCAG